CGCGTTGCTAAGGTATTCCAACAATAAATATAAGATACTAGAATATCCCTAGCATAATTAATTTATAAATATGCTAGCGCTGATGTGAAATTATTTACTTTAGAAATCGATTCACTCTTCCGTGATAAGAAAATCTAGAAAGAATCTGAGAATAATCCTGACTACGGCAACTTAATAAGCTTATATTCATCCTAAACTCTGAGTTAGCTAATAAATTAATTATGACCAAGATATTATAAGTTTCTCTACTGAATTTAATCACTCGCCAATAAGTCGACTCTATCATTGAAGAAACTGAGCTGGCGAGAATACGTAATTTTCAACATATTGATGATTTAATATTTTAATATTTCAAAATTATCCAATTTCAATTTTCATAAAATAAACTCGATACTAGTAATCATGATAGTTTTATTCAGAATTACTAATATCGTATTGTTTAAATTCTTCCATTTCAAAGGCAACTCCGATGCAGGGTGCCGATAATGCGCTTTCATTAAAAAACTAATAACGATTCATATAACTAAAATGTTGTTGGACCTGCCAAGTAATTTGCCCTAAAATTACCTTAATAAAAACACTTGATTTTTGTTTATACCAAAAAAATATATAGATTTATTATTGCTAATAATTCGAATTATTAGAAATATTTAATTATCATGTTCAACATGATTCGTTCATCTGTACCACGCGATATAATCGTGACTTAAAAGTGTATCATTTGACAACCCATCTAATTAAGCTGTTTTGCAAAGAAGCTTTGTTAAAAATTACCTTTCAAACTTAAATCCATAGAAGTCGCACTGGTAAGTTTCAATTCCGGCCTTAAATTTCGAATAAAGGCAAAGCCTAAAACAAGAAAAAACGTAAGAATACCAGATCGGTATACAAAGAATTATATTATTATAAAAAGAATAGTAATTTAACCAAGATTTAACTATTTCTTGTGACATTACAATACAGCTACCTGGGATGAGCTTAAAAAAACATTAAACTTTGAAAGGAATTTTTTTATGCTATACATAATAAAGGCTTTGCATATCTCAACTAGCATTCTCAGCATGGTGATATTATTGCTATAATAATGTAAAATTATAAAATGATATTTCAACGTACCATTATTTGTAAATACAATACAATAAACAAATAATGCATACTCATGACCATTAAATTAGTGTAAAGTATTCTGAAAAAAATTTCCTTGACAAGTTAAAGACCAAGGTAGAATAAGTAAAATTAAAAAATTAAACTAAAGTTAAAGATAAGGAAAATTTAAAAGGATTTAGAATATTGGCTGACTAATAAAGCATTTAAATATAAACAAGTAAATTGAAAATAATACTGCCAACAAATTATCATATTGGACAAAGTGAAACCGTTCTTGTAAATCATGCAATTCAATGATCCAAATGTCATCAAAATAAAAATGCGTAAATAGTTTGAGTCGAATGGTTACACATCGGAGATCAAGCAATTTGTGAAAAGATCTTTACGTGATTGAAGTAAGAACTAAAGGATCTGCTAAGATTCATAAAATAAAAATTAAATTGAGCATAAATGAGTTATATCGTTTTAAGGCCAACGATTTTAGAGATAAAAAACGTAAAGATTCCACCAGGCAGCATGATGGCAAATATTTTTCAGTCTAGCTGAATTAAAGATGCATATGTTTAACCTATTAGGGACTTCATAAATTGACTTATTATCGTCACAATTAAGTCTTTTGCAACTCAATATTAAAACTATAGAAATATAAAGTTCTTTTTCAAGATAGCAAAAAATACTAAAGATTTTTGTACATATGATTTAAAGATTATGAGCTATACTGACGTAGTGAAAAAAAAGAAGCTCAGAATCTTCATATAGGAGTAATTTTTTAGGCAATACAATTGCTTGAATAGAGCATTATTAAATATTCACCAGCATACAAGATGGT